TCTGAGGAAAAATTGTTTTCCATGAAACCAGTCTCTGGTGCCAAAAAGGTTGGGGACTGCTGTTCTAAACCACTTGGACTCAAATCATCAATGTGGCACTGTTTCACCTGGACTCTTTCTTTCTCTTCCAGAAAATACCTGAATACTGATCCGTTTTTCCTGGTATTAAACTTGTCAGGGGAAAAAAAGTGACTCTAGAATTTAAGTGTATTCAGTATTATTCACAAATAGAAAGGTGCAGGACAGACCACAGTGACTCCTGTATGGCAGTGCCAGGTCCCCAAATAGTGGAAAACCTTGGAATACGCTGAAAGTCCGGGCTAGTCCAGGAAAGGCTTCCCATTTATAGGATTGTGTTTGTTTCAGTAGGGTAGGAGGACAATCTCTAATGGGAAGAAGAATGGACGGAATTAAAGTAAAAAGGGTCAAGACATCTCCCAATGGGAACTAAATCCAGAATTTGCCATCAGAGGGTCTCACCATTCTTTACCAGACCACATTTGCAGCCCATCAGCCTTGACACCTGGATATCCCTAATTAACCTCTGATTCCCTCCCAAGTACAGGACACCACAGACATACCAAATACAACGAGCAGTAACTGATAAAAGAATTCTCTCCTTTCTGCTTCTCATTCAGCACATAGTGCCTGAGACAGTTTAGATTCACATTTCATAAAGCCTCAGTTGATTAATTCAGCACATGGGTGGGAACTACCTGGTGCACATGATGCTATACTCCTCACCTAGCAATCATCGCACTTTCCCTAATCCAGATCCAGTTCTGAATCATCCTCAACACAGGCAGCCATTACCAATAGCTCAGGTGATACGTAGGGTAAAATATGACTGCCATCCTTGAGCTCAGAATTCATTCATGTAGTTGGAACAGCTCAAGCACTGACAAGCACTGCCCTGGGCTCAGAGATGACTAAGGCTTATTCCCTCATCTCCAGGAGCAAATAATTTAGTGACCCACTATGTTTGTCTGACTGTAATATCTAATAAATGCTAATAAAGATGAGATGTATGAAGTGTGACTACAGCACAAAGCACAATTAAACTCCAGAGGTGAGGGCGAGAGAGAGAGAGACAAAAAGAGAGAGAGAGAGAGAGACAAAGAGAGAGAGAGAGAGACAAAGAAAGAGGGAGGGCCAGGGAAAGTTTATAGATAACATAGAGGTGGTTACTAGAGCGATATGAAGTCTGGATAGTGGAGAAGAGTGAACACGAGAGAGAACTTGGAAGTGAGAATGTACAATGGAGGTTAGAATAGGAGCGTTCCACATGAGAAACACTGAGATGATGGTGGGGGAGGTGAGTACTCAATATGTATTCAAATGAACTGAAGCATGGCAGAAAAATCTGATGAGGGAGACTAGACATAGATTATGAGTTTAAATTTTATTTTGATGGCAAAGGGAATCCAAGGGTCAAATTGTTGACCCTCCAGGTCTAAAATGTATCCAAAGAGGTTAGAAATGATGTGTTTATCTAACATGGTTTTTAAACCCTTCATACTGCACACAGCTTCATCTCTGAGCACAGCTGTGATTGTTTGCTCTGGCTCCGTATCTACATTTCATGCATTAAACATGAGGAGATACCTGGCACAGCTACATCATTCTTTACCTCACACCCAGTAATCCTTACCTGTCAGCTGAGCCAGCTGCAATTTTGCTTCCATCAGGTGACCAAGAACATCTCAGAAGATTCTACAATGATAAGTATAAATCCACTGAATAGTAACATAGTGAATGCCTCACTGCTAGACTACAAAATCACTGACTTTAAGTTTCCTAAGAAGAGTTTTAATTATTTTCCCAAGATGATCAGTAATTACCTTATATATTCTGTGGCCCCAAACAGCATACTTTGTTATTTTATACCATATAGAAACTGTAGAAAATGCTTAATTTACAGTTAATTCAATTCAACCTGGCAACAAAACTTTGTTCTTC